AGCAGTAACCATGCTGATATTCGTCCTCCAAGCATAAATATTCATATCAGGCATACCTGCTCTCCTACTGGCAAATTATATTGTTTCCTGGTAATTATCCTGTCTTTGTTTTGACAAGAAAATGCAAGAATATCCCAATCCCTTGCTCTTTTTCTCTGAAGGCACACAGTCAGACAGAGTTACACAGATTTTTAGGAGGAAAAAAATGTCAAAATATTGGCAGCATCTCGGTGCTGAAGAAGCAATAAAAACCAAGAGGAGGCAAGGGAGTGTTTTGTGCTAAACTAGTCACCCAGGATAGGCTTTTCTCTGTTTTACAAGTTACAAATTCTAAAGCTAATCACAAGATATAATGGATGCTAAAAATTGCCATGTGAACCTGCACTACCATTCCCGTTCTCAGAAATGGTTATTACAAAACTTTACTGCAATTATGATCTCTGAAGCTTTAGATTTATTATTTCTTTTTTCCTAACAAGCACAAAAGCTGAACTGAAAATAAAACTGAAATATTAATTTCTCCCAAGAACTGCATGTCCATCCCCACCTGAGGATAGGGAGCATGTGTTTTCATGTATGCATAAAACCAGTAAAAATTAATACGTTTTAAAATGCATTATGTGTGTGTTTGTGTATACATACACAAATAAAAGTGTTGATACTCTCAGAAAGAGTGCTTAGGCAGTGGCACAGGCTGCCTGCCGAGGTGGTGCAGTCACTATCCCGGAGGTATTCAAGAACTGTGTGGATGTGGCACTGAGGGACACAGTTAGTGGGCATGGTAGGTGTTGCAGTTGGGTTAGGTGATCTTAGAGATCTTTTCCAATGTTAACTGTATAGAATTTGAAAATGTGTAAAATGAGTTTTATTTACTTATATCCTTATGAGATGAAGATACAAAGAACAAAAGGGTGTGGGATGGGGATATTTTCCCCTTTTATTTTAAAGAAAGTGAGGGCAGTTCCCGAGGTGATGAAGTTGCCTGCACATCTCTAGTGTACCCTTGCTCTCCTTGTGTACCTCAAGCAGCTGCAAAGCTTGGATTGACACATGCTGAATTTTATCTGATGCAGGAGGACACAGGAGCAGCCCTGAGTTTCAAATACTGTGTGTGCAGGAGGGTAGGAGATGAAACTTATGTGGCTGGGATACCAACTGGCTCACAGGGTAGGCTTGGGCAGCATGAGCTGCTCTGATAAGCTGCTCTGATATGCTGGGAATAAGCCCACTGTATGCAAGGGCTATCTGCAGCACCAACACAAGGGGAGAAGCAGCTGGCTGGCAGCTTTGAGTTAGAGACTTCCTGTCTACTCTAACCTGAGAAAGGTTTGGCGGGTAGGAAGAGTGGTTTTGATGGGAGGAGAGAGGGACACAACTGGTAGGAGATGGCAGCTCTGGGTATAGCCCCACGCACACAAAGCTTAGCATTCCATATTTTTTCACTGTTTCTAAACAACTGTTTTCCTATGGGCCTCACTAAATTTATGAGCAACTTATGTTCTATTTTGCAATGCGAAAGAAAACTTTAAGACTACTATATTCCTTTAGAAAGATGAACGCTTAAGGTTAAATTAAAGAGGAGAATGTATCTCACTGAACTTTCTCTCCTGATACAGACAAAAGGCTTTTAGTACAGGACACAAAACATTCTCCAAAAAAGCAGCAGATTTTCCGAAGGAACTTATTCCTCCAGGAATTAGGGAATATCACAGCCTTCTGTGATAAGTACAAGGTGCTTGAACTTGCTTACAGCTGTGTGATGTGCGAGCTAGCTATAGCTCCAACAAAATAAAACTCCGAATAAACCTAAATAACTTGAAACTTCTGAAAGAAAAAATGTCTTCCTCTGCTTCAGTATCCTTACCATTGCCACATCGTTTCCCTGTGAGGGCAGAAACAGCTGACGTTACATGAGGATTCTGGTCTTCTCTCTTACGCAATTTGTTCTGTTGAACGCTCTCTCTTGCCTGCTGTATCAACAGCTAGAGGATAGGGTCAGTCTGTAGCAACTAATATTCCCTTTGAAGTCTTTTCTTAGTGCTTAAAATGACCATTCTAGCTGTCGGAAACCCATTCATCATTTGCTATAAGTTTGCACACTGCAGCATCATATATGCTTGTTTGAACCAGGTTAAATTGCGTTACTCAGTGTCATTTATCAAATCTATCTGGTATCTGTGTGATTTTGATCAGAAAATTTGCTAAAACCACAAAATCTACAGTGCTTTATTAAGAACAACAGTAACCCCTACTGGATTGTAACTGTCTCCCTGGAAACCTGCAGTGTGCAACACCTTGTGCTGCTCTGTACAGTGTGCACTCCACAGCCTGCAGAGCTACAGGAGAAAGAAGTCATTCCTTTGTTTACAATATGTTTCTGTGTCATTATATCCCGGATTAAATTGGAAATCCTGCTGAATTTACACTCAAGCTTGTGGAAGGATGTCTGTTCCTTGTAAATTCAAATTTAGAGCATTTTTTGTTTTTACAGATAAGTTATGAAACCAGCCTTATACCAGCTAGTTTGCTTCTGTGTTAAGACTTACAAGCACTGGAATTTCTTTCTTAATGTGCCTGAAAAATCACCTTTGCACCACTACAGATCACTATGGCCTGCTTGTGCCTATTCCAAACCCACCTAAACCCTTCTTGAGGTTCTCGAGGTGTGTGAAGGCTGTGAGGAAGAGAGCCTGGAGCCACACTTCAGCGAGCTGTTGTGCCAGGTCTCCTGATCCACTTATATAGCACATACATCTGTACTGCAAATTCAGCACTCCTTTTCTTTCTGCGTGTGTAGGATTTCTGACAAATGAAGGCGATGTTAGCAGAGCTATTTTCAGTGCCATTTTACTGTCCTGAGTGTCAGAAAAGTTTGAGCGCTTTCTGCAAGTTTTTTGGTTTTTTTTGTTTTTTCCCAGATTGTCTTCTCAAACTAAAATGTTCTTTTTCAGCAGGGGAAATTAGAATCAGAGTGTGCCTCTGGGCTGCCATGGGAGCTTCTGGTGTGCTGGAAAACTAAATGGAAAAGGGCAAACAGGACAAGAGAAAACCTGTGTGAAAGCATAATAACAGACATCACCTATGTTGATTTCATTAGTGGCAAACCTTTTGATTTGATTTTCTTTAACTTCATTCAACAGGAATTTTGTCTTTGCTTACCAAGGTGATCAAGTCTGGCACGACGCAGATGTGATTGAAAAAAACAGTATTTAGTTTACAGATGAGTAACATCTCACGGCGGCTGCAGTTCCTCACAGGGAGCAGAGGAGCAGTGCTGAGCTCTGCCCTCTGCGACAGCGACCGGGCCCGGGAGAACGGCATGGAGCTGCCGTGTGTGGGGAGGGGCAGCTGGGGGTTGGGGACAGGTGCTGCACCAGAGGGCGATGGGCGCAGCCCTGAGCTGCTGGACTTCAAGGAGTGTTTGCTCTCAGATATAGGGGTGAATTTTGTGCGGTGCTGTGTGGAGCCAGGTGTTGGACCAAATTCTCTGATCATCAGCTGGATGAGGGGATGTTCTGCACAGAAGCATTATGGAGATCTCGCTGAATCAAAAAAACATCAGAGAGCAAAGACTAGGGAATCTGAAAAGCTCTTACAAGTATTTGCAGTGTCACTCAAGTATATACCAGACACTTGCCTTTACACACTGAACATTTTTTTCTACATTTAGTTCAATTTACCTTAAAACAACCAGCGATGCAACTTTCCAAAAGGTGTTCAGCAGCTTTGAATACGAAGGTCCTTCAGGTACTTTGAAAGCAGACCCTACTCCCTGTGAAAATCTCGGTGTTTAGAAAGCCTGGTCTGCTCAGTACCAACCTGCACGGCCATCAACACCAGCACGAGGTGCACAGCAAGGTGAGGTACGAGACCCAGAGCTCCTCAAGGGCTTCCTGTGGGTGCCTGACACCCCTGTGCAGCATGTGGGAAAAGTCAGGCACCAATACCAGCCAACAGAAAGTGGTCAGTGGCACTCAGACTTTCCTACTCTTCAGTCTCCTACGTTTACGTTATGTATATGTTTATATACAAAGTGAGGTGGATAGAGAGCTGGAACACCCCTCATACAAAGAAAGGCTGAGAGAGTTGGGCTTGTTTAGCTTGGGGAAGAGAAGACCCTGAGGAGACCTCACTGCAGTATTGCAGCACTTGAAGGGAGCACTTTTTTATAGTCTAGTAGTGATAGGATAAGGGGGAACGACTTTAAACTGAAAGGGGGAAAAATCAGGTTAGATGTGAGAAAGAAGTTCTTTACTCGAGGGCAGCGAGGCGCTGGCACAGCTGCCGGAGCTGTGGGTGTCCCATCCCTGGAGGTACTAAAGGCCAGGTTGGGTGGACCCTGGACAGCCTAAGCTGGTAGAAGACAGCCCTGCCTATGGCAGGGGGCTGGGAATGGGTGACCTTTACAGTCCGACCCGAGCCATTCTGTGATTCTGTGAAAACATCTGTGTGATATTTGATAATGCCAATTTGACAAATGGATTCTTTATTACATAAATGCCCATGATTGCATGCAGGTATCATATAATCACATGCAAAGGTACAGGCTATGCCACAGACAAAATTTACACTGGAACAAATGGTGTAGCTAAAGTAGGCTGTGGAGTGATACTGAGACAGATCAGCCATATGAAGATACAATCTGGGATAGATCAGCCAATTCCCTGTCAAGCTAAAAATCCAACCCTGCTAGGTGTCTGACAATATGAAAAAACAGTAACAGCAAACAGCTTACATACACAGGCAACCAAGTCACCAGGTATGCTCCTGGGACAGCCCCATAAAGTTGCTCCATCCTATTAGAATTTCACAGGTCTGCAATAGCTATCTGAGATATAAAGAAGCATCCATTCTTTTGAATTTCCATATAGTCACAATCTAAATATTTGCATTAAAAGAAGTTAAAAGAACAAAATAGTTTGCCTCCAGACTGCTGTTTTTTTTTTCATCCTTCAGTTTCAGCAACGCTTTCCTTTAATAGTTCCATCATAATCATAAAATTCATGCTGTCAGTAACACTGCCTCTGTATTTCACTACGTAAATACATATTTGAAGACTTTAAAATACATTTTGATTCACACATTAAGAAAAATAAAAGTCCATCACTATTAAATTTAGAGTCTGCACCCATCTTGCAAATCAATACAGCACATTTTAACAAAAAATGCTATCTAATTATGTCCAAAATATTAAGTGATTAAACCACAATCCCTTAAATTAGTTGATTAAATTTCATTCTAAAGAAAATAATTGTGCTATCTAAATGGAAGTTGCTTTTCCACTATTGTGTCATGCAAATTCACAGTACAATAATCAGTTTGAGCTATAAAGAAAATGACAGAAAGGATCTCAATATTTACAAGGATTTACAATAATTAGCACGCTGAACACACATCATTTATGTGTTATCTGGTATACATTTTCTTTTACTGAAGTATCATTTTAATTATGAAATACAGCTTCAATTTGAGAAATTCACAGCAGTATCTTGCATGTCTAAAATTTCTAGAGTAGTGCAATATTCCAGAATGCTAGATAGATTTTTATCATTTTCATCACTCTACACACTGAAACATTTGCTAATTTATTTGGAGCTTTCATGCATAATTACTAGAAAACAAATATGTTCTGTTATTTTGTTATTCTGTCATCAGGAAGGAAAAGCCATCTAATGAACATTCTGAAAAATATAAGTAATTGCAAGTAGTGGATTACTGAAATACAAATAGTGCCTAGAGCACCATTTAAATGATTTTAATAATTCCCTACTTCTACTTAGGATAAGATTGGGAACACGAGCCTGATTTCAAGCTTTTCCTATGCTACAGACGACTTCCGGCATGTAAGATTTTCCAAGGATGTGACAATGTGAAAACTGTAACGCTGTTGAGAAAGCAACATTCATTTTTAAAGCTGCACATATACTGCAAACCTGTATTTGTACTTTGATAAGCCTATGTTATTATTATTATTTTTTTTCCAAGCTGGGAGAGGAGTGCTGTTATGGACTGGTGCAAGGCACCAGTTTTCTGCTGCTGCTCGATTGTCTCAAGAAGTCACAGTAACACACTTAACTTCTGCATCAGCAAAGGACCCTCGGCTCCTGCAAGGTTTACGTCTGTTCTCTGAGCATGTATGGAATATCTAATAAATGTCATACTCCCTCAGCGAGCTGCCTTCCCCTCTGCCTTGGTGGGCTTTCGTTGTTTGATTTCAAGTCAAGGGCTCTGCAACTAGTAAACAGCATGTTTACAAAAACAGAGCATTACATAGTGGGCCTGATCTAGCCCTTATTAAATCAGCAGACACCAAATCGAATTCCACTGTCTATTATACCCCACAAAAAAAATGCACACTAGAAATACTTGCATTACAAATATTACAGGACGTGACTTTGCCTGATAGCAAAATTTCTATTTATAGCAACAGGGGAAATTAGAGCCATATCCATAAAATATGACCTCAACATAAAAGACAAAATCAGTCAGTGATTTTTCCTGGCAATAGTGTTGAGATTTTCAGTGCTGTTAACTTTTTGCCTTATAAACTTATCCCTTCAACTTTCTCTTAAAAATATAAATGCCATTTGGAAGCTTGAAACTGAAATGTTTTTCTTACCAAATGCTATTTTCCTTCATCACACGCTCAGAATGAATGGTTCTTCTTCAACATTCAGCTGCTAAAGTTCATATCAGATTTTACTCTGTCCACCTTGAAAAAGTCTCTTTTTCATGCTAAGATGTAAAGGGAAATGAAGATGCTAAACCACAGATACAGGTGCAGTCAGAATGATTTCTCTACCCATGCAGGCTTCTCGTGCTCCTTTTAATGGACTTCTTGGGAAAATGAGACAAAGAAGAAATTATGTGGATGCATAAAGAGCAGAGTATACCACAGGGAAAAATGCTGGTAGAATAATGAGTTTGGATCTTAGTGCAGTTGTACTGTGAATATTTTGTCATGCCTGTCTTTAGCAACATCTCAGTCAACAACCGAACACAGGTCTGAGCAAGCTGCTTCATCAGACAGCGTGTCGCAGGGGAATGCCACCAGTTCTTGAAAGTAAATCTTTTTGTTCTGGGTGATTTACAAGTACTTACATACAGCTTCAGATTACTTTTTACATGTAAAAAAATATTTGGAATATTTTGGCTTGCTGAGAGTAAAATACAACAGGTGAGCTAACATTGACCTACCGCGGGTAAAGGAAGACTTAGAAAATTTTCTTGTTTAATTGGCTACAGTGCTTAGTGAAAATATTTAAATTGCATTAGAACTACTTCAAACCCTTGCACTATTCCTCTGAGGAAGTTTTGGGCTCATTACAACTACAGCTAGTTTTAAGAGGGCAGCTGACCCTTGGATAATCCCTCATTTTTGCTTCTTGTGTTGCCTTCCCTGCAGATTTGCCCTCTGCTTTATGTTTTCCATGAAACATCAATGACAACTGCACCATGCAGAACTCTGGGGTTTTATGTATACAAAACACATTTTATAGGCATTTAGTACTGCACGTGTTTTATTGAAGAATGTATGAATAAAACAGCCTGGCTAATTAAGCTGCTCTAGAAATAGTAATCAATTGATGTTTTAGGTGTCAAAGCAGAATAGGATTATAAAATGTACTTCAGAAGAACCTTAAATTGATGTTATTTTAAATATATATTTTTAAACCAAGCTCTGAAGCACTTTGGAAGCTATTTTTTAAATGTCTTCCGAGTACCACCATACCTATTTTGTAATAGGAAGGGATAACAGATTTCAAGCACTGTTTATAGAAGGGGATTTAAGAACAAATGCATTGTACAAAACACCAAGGCATTCACTGTCAGCCAAACACTGCAGGAGAATGTTATCCAACACAATATTGACACATGCTTACTGTTACATCCTAATTAAATGTACATGTAAGCAAGCGGGAAAGAAATATTTTAAAGTAGCCATCACCAAGTCTCTAATAAAACTCTATCACAAAGACATTCTATGATACAAAAATAATAATTATCTTTAGAATAAGAAGTGTGGTACAACAGTTACACTTGCTCACTATACAAATACTCAGTCCAGTGGTGACAGACTGTGATTCAAGTCATTGCCTAACCTTACACAGTTCCATAAATGCATGTTTATTACATTAACACACTATGAATAATAGGTTTCTACTGCAGTTACTTGAAAGCATGTTACCAAAACCAGGACACTGCCCAAGAAATGGCTTGGTTGTACACATTTTGTTAATACTACAGGAGCAAAGATGATGCTTTTCTCCTCTTGGTACTGTATAGATGAGTGTAAGCTGATAATCTCCAAAATACACGACACACTGCACAGCTACTGTAAGCTCTACCTTGTTACATGGATTATTGTATGTATGCTAAGTATGAACAGTATGCATAGTTGCACAGTAATAATTAACCACACTGGGCTTTTTACACTATCCTTAAGTTATGTGCAGCTAATGTTCAGGCCAGCAATTTAAGAATCCACAAACTTAAGTTCAGATGCTGTTATTCAGGTATTGCTCATACATTTAAAGTACACCAGCAGAAACAGGCTATCGCTAACTCACATCAGTTGTAGAATACATAGATTTATCAAAATATTAATTGTACTTAATATTCTTTATTACTTTTGAGGGCAAGTGTATAAAAGCACATTAAAAAAATAGCTGGTATTGAATAAAGCCCATTTAAAGCAATAGAAAATTAGTCCGAACCAACTTGTGCTATTTGCTCTGACAGTGTCTGAAGTTACAAGGAGAGAAAAATGCATTTGAATAATAGTGATGCCCAGAATAGATCACATTTTTTCTGATACCTTGAGGACTGTTTTATATTTATGAGCTCTTACCAAAAGGTGCATACCTATGAGAAAAACTGTACCTTTTGAAAATGAAGGAAATTAGCAGCTAACTCGTAATATTTTAGAGATTCTTGAGAGCTTCCAGTAACAGTGACCATGAGAAAAGCTCCACCACTGTACTGAAATGTACCAACTTACATTACACTTTCACACTCGGTGTACGTTTTTTGTCAAGAACCTATGAACGTATTAGAAAAAGTGCATTAATTATCGGTGGTGTTTGAAAGGTTCTTGTTAACCTTTTGATAAGCCACCAGAATTACTTATTAGATGATGCATTTTTCAAGTTTTTCTCTGCATGCTTCATATATTTACATGACAAAGCATTCCCAAGCAAGTAATAAGCATGAGAAATAATACAATTCTTGAATGTACTTGCTAGAAGTTTAAAGATAAACGTAAGCTCCATCAAGTTACTCAATGTAATCACTAAAGGACTGCATTGAGAGTTTTAAATGAAACAGTAAGCACTTAATTTACCAAGTGCTGCACTGATTTACAAGTCTGAAGCTCACCGACTGAGCTGCATCCAATTTCAATCAGAATCTGCAAGTATGTCTTTTATAAAAAAACAATTCCATTCAGGTACAATTTTCTTTAGCTTACCAACTCCACAGTTTAATCTGAATGTTTTTCAATATGGTAGAGAAAACCTAATGTAAATTCAGCTTCTACCTTCCCAGCTAGACAGACCCTCGCATCCGTCCTGACGTTTTGCAGTTGTCTCAAGAGAGCAGATCAGGGCTTTTGTGCCAAGTGGAACCACTCTCGTCGTAATCAGTGTAATTCTTAAAGTGTACATCACAGAACCATTATCAACATTTATATCTCGAAGCTACACACGTACAGGATTTTATTCGGAGTACTGCCGAGGGCTATTACTCCAGAGCCCACAAAGTTATTAACATTCTTAGATGTCCATTCATTTCTCATTAAACAGGAAACTTCCACACAAGTTCTTGCAAGACTGTTTATTGAATTGAACAGTTCAAATGGAGTTTAGATGCAGTTTATGTATAGAAAAAAAAATCCATTTTCAGGTAAACTGCAATCAAAAATTACAGTACAAAATAGTAAGTGATTCACTGAGACTGTAAGTGTCCTAACACGTTAAACTAAGAAGTATTTGTGCGTGCTCACTGTTTGATTTCCTTCTTTGTAACAGAGGACTTGTTAAAAGGAGTTTTTTTTTGTTTTTCTAAATCCAAAGTTAAGTCTATGAAATGGAAACATTATCATCAGGATTCAGATATACAAGATTTAAAACTGGCACAGAGGATTTAACGTTTTTCTCAAAAAGTTGAGGCAGGTTTTGTTGAATGATAATTGTGTGTGTGTGGGGGGGGGGGGTGTATGTATCTGTTATAAACTCCGGTGGCTTTGTAGCACAGTATCCTTTTCTCTTTTGAGATCTTGAAAAAATTTCCCACCATGAGAATTGGTAAGGAAGAGGAGAAGTAGCAGCTTGTTTCTTGCGTGCAGTGCAACACCATGCGCAGCTGCCCGGCGTCTCAGAACAAAGGGAGGATGGCAATGAGCAACGCACAGAGGCATATCCCCTTCATGCTGTGAGCATGTCCGAGATTTCTCTGGGGAAAGGGAAGCGAGCACAAGGGCAAAGCATCAGTCTATATGTCATGCATAGCTATGGTGCACGGCCACTGCCGCGGCGCTGTCAGACGTCCGAGTTGGAGCTGAGGTTTGTTAACCTGGGGTCGGCGTTGATCTCATACCTGTAGTGATATCCCTCCATGTGATCCCTGCAGGCATCTCTGATGTTGTGCATCCACTTTTTGATCCCTTTTCGGTTCAAGTACAAAACCAGGAGGAAAATTGCCCCGATGAGAGCCAAGACTATCCCTAAGAAGACGTAGGAAGTCTGTAGCTGGGAGGGCACGTCCACGGGTGTGGAGCAGTTGAGCTCTGACGTGTTGAGCTTCAGCAGGGCTCTGCCCGCCATCTTCTCGGGGAAGGCGCAGCTCAGGGCCTCCTTGCCCTCCACCTGGTCGCTCTCCTTCAGCCAGGCCACCATGTCCTCGATGGCACAGTCGCACACCCAGGTGTTGCGGCTGAGGCTGATGCGCCGCAGGGCGGGCAGCCCGCGCCACTGGGCCAGGGTGCCATTCCGCAGCACTCCCAGCGAGTTGTCGCTGAGGTTGAGGCTCTGCAGACGAACCAGCCCCTGGAAGGAGACGTTCCGCAGCCCCACCAGCGAGTTGTTGCTGAGGTCTAGGTGCCGCAGAGCAGGCAGTGCGCCCAGCATGCCGGCGGGCAGCAACAGCAGCCCGTTGTCGGCCAGCTCCAGGCGACTGAGGTTGCGGAGGGCCCCAGCCTGCAGCAGGGCAGCCAGGCCAAGAAGCGCGTCCTGCTTCCGCAGGGCCCCGCGCAGGGCCAGCTCCTCCAGCGGGCCGGCCTGCCCGAAGGCCAGAGGGCTGAGCTCCGCCAGCGGGTTGCCGCCGAGGTCCAGCTGCCGCAGGGCGGGCAGGGCGGCCAAGGCACCGGCCTCCACGGCCCGCAGGTGGTTGCCGCTGAGGTTGAGGCTTCCCAGCTCGGCCAGGCGCGGGGCGGACAGCGCGCCGGCGGGCAGGCGGTCCAGGCGGTTGCCGGTGATGAAGAGGTTGCGCACGTAGGGCGGCAGGTCGGGCGGCACCTCCGTCAGGTTCTTGTTCACGCACTTCACCGTCTTGGCCGCCTCCGAACACTCGCAGGGGGCCGGGCAGGCGGCGGGCGGCTGCGCCGAGCCGCAGCCCAGAAGGGCGTGCAACAGCAGCCCCAGGCACAGCGCCCCGCGCCGCTCGGCCTCGCGCCCCGGCATCGCGCCCGCCCCGCGGGCAGGCGGCGCTTCGGCCCGGGACCAAACTTTCCCCGGCGAGCGCACGCGGCCGCGCTCCGCTTCCTGCAGAGAGAGCCGCGGCACGGGGGCAAAGCGAGAGGGCAGCGCGGCTCCGCGCCTCGCCCCCCGCCCGCCACACGTGGCCCCGCCGACTGAGTTCCTCCCCGGTCGCGGCGCGCGGAGCACAAAGAGGAGCGAAAGGCGCGAGCCGCCCGCCGCCTCCCGTCCCGGGCTGCCCGCTCTGCTCCGCGGAGTGCCGCCCGAGGAGCCGTCCCGCGGCCCCGTCCCGCAGCTCCGCCGCTCACCTCCAGCCGCCGCTCCCGCCCCGCGCCCGGAGCCAACTCCGCGCCGCCGCCGCTAACTCCGCGCCCACCTCCCCGCGCCTGGCCCTGCCTCCGCTGCCAGGAGAAACCAACCGCCGCCACGCCCGGGGGGAGCCGAGACCGCCGCCGTCCGCCCCGCCGCCGCCCGCGTCCCGCCCTCTGTGCCCGCGTCCCGGTGCCGCTGCCGTCACGGGACGGCCGTGCCCGGGAACTCGGCGGGAGGGCTGGTCTCGCCCGGCGCTGCGCGGTCCTGCTCCCCCCGGCTGTGTTGGTGCGGCCGGAGGCTTACCTTGCCGCCGAGCAGGGGTTGCTCCACGCGGGGCTGCCTCGCCTCTGTCATCGACGGGGCGGCTGCGCGCGGCTCGGATCGGCTCCCGTCCGCTCTCCGAGAGGAGATGCGGTAGGGAAGCCCCCCGGCAGAGCCCTTCCCACCTCGGACGATTATTTTTTTTATTGTTTTCAGTGATTTGCCTTGCTGATGGCACTGCGCACAGCATGGAGTGTTAGAGCAGAGTGGGGAAGGGGAAGCTGGGCGTCTCTCTCAGTCCCATCCCGTCGAGGCAAAACATCCCGGAGGATCTCCTGCACAAAACGAGAATAAACCTGCCGGGACCTCTCGAGGTCCTAAAACCAGCGAACCGGAGCAGCTCCTTGGCGGCTAAGTTCTGAGGTTTAAACTATGCTACGGTGAGGCAAAAACTTAAATGTCTGCTTTCACAGGTCGCTCCGAAAGTAATGCCTCCTATGTATTTCCATGGAAACTACAACAGGTACAAAGAGCATAATAACACATTTTGATAGAGCAAATTCTCAGCTACAGAACACTGTGTTTCAGTACAGTCATCTTCATGAGCCATGCATTTTCACCCGTGATGAACAAGAGCCTGTGTGCTGCACTCATAAACATCTGCGCCGCTGCCCCAGGAGGTGACCCACTGTTTCCTGAAACATGCCACATGCTGCCTCACTGTGCTCACTCCACTGTTCGGCCTCCAGAAATATTCAATAAGTGTTGATCTGTGGCACAGCAACAAAACGTGAAGAGATATTGATGGGAACATTCAGCCTCTGCTGCCATACTACCAGCATCTGCCTCTGATGCTGTGGGCCAACTTAGTAAAATAGGAGCATGCTGAGTGATTCAGTCTGTGTAAATGCTGTAGTGTGGGAGAGTGACTTGCTTCGTGCAGGTTTGCCCCCCACCAGATGAGGCTGGCTAGGACCCCATCCAACCTAGCCTTGAATGCTTCCAGGGATGGGGCATCCACAGCCTCTCCGGGCAGCCTATGCCAGTGCTGCACTACCCTCTGAGTAAAGAATTTCTTCCTATTATGTAACCTCAAACGTTTTCTTTAAAACCATCCCCCCTTGTCTTATCACTGTCAAACTGCGTAAAAAGTCCATTTTCCTCCTGCTTGCAAGCTCCCTTCATGTACTGGAAGGCCACAGGTCTCCCTGGAACCTTCTCCAAACTAAGCAAACCAAACTCCCTCTGCCTATCTGCATAGGAGAGGTGCTTCAGCCCTCTGACCATCTTCGTTTCCTCTTCTGGATGCACTCCAAAATCTCCATGTTCTTCCTGTGCTGGGGGCTCCAGGCCTGGACGCTGTACTCCTTACAATTCGAATGTACCCTTACAATCAACTATAATCAATAGAATAATCAGCTGCAATACTGTTGTCTGTAGGGTTTCTCTCCCTGCCCAACATGAAGTACGAGCCTAGGGCAACAGACTAGGGTACTTTTTAGGAGGAAATTATAGAGAAAATAAAATTAAAATATGAAATGGCAGAAGTTATAGTAATATAAGTGAGATCTCAGGGCTGTGAGCACTTGCAGAGGTTTGGAAAGTTACTGCCTTGATGTAGAATTATGAAAGCAATGGCACTGTGTTGCAGGAGTGTTTGCTTTGTTAAAGAGAATCTGAGTTCCAGATCCAAATGGCTGTTGTAAGATAATGCTTAGAAAAGGATGTAGGTGAAGATAGCTCACATTTTGTAAGTGAAATACATGCTTTCCAAGTTTATTAGAATTCTTCAGAAGTGTTGAAGAAAGAAATAAAGTTGGCCTATTAGACAACGGTGAAATTCAGTGATCAGTAAGAGGGAGTTTCCAAAAGAAGAGAGGCTTATAAAATAGGTAACTGACAATTCTAACAAAAAATCTGAAATCAAGCCTAGAAAACATACTGAGTGTACCCACGTTTGTGTTTTGTTTGTTTATTTGTTTGTTTGTTAAAATGTTTAGATAGAATGTCAATTTTAGTAGAATTAAGAACAAAAATACTGATCTTACTATGCTGACCAAAATTGTCCTCTTGGCACTTAGTGACTGTTTATATACATATGCATCTCTTGCCCTGTATGGATGGCTGGCTCCCTGTACAGGGAACTCCTTGTTCCGTATTTGGATGTGCTACAGTAGTTCAAATAATAAATGGCAAGTATTTTCCTATTAACCAGGACTGAATTGCACCAGCTAAGCTTGCAAGAAGAAAAAAACTCATTAATCTGTTGTGTTATCTTCCCATTTAAATAAAACAGCTTTTCTCAGATGTGCACTCCAAAATGGAAACACTGCTGTCTGATGAATAAGCTGTATTGGATGGTTTTCCTGGACACGTTTGTAATCTGCTAGAAAAGAGAAAAAACAAGAAAAAATTATGTATTTTCAGGTCAGTTTGGGTTATTATTATTATTTTTAGGGGATAGGGGAATTTGCATTGGCCAACCCATAGAATGTCACCTCCTAGCTTTTGAATAAAATTTATGCAAAACTTAATTCTGAGTTAAAATACAATATTTAAAAAGAAATGATATTGGCTAGAGAACTCAAAGTAGATGACAATTTACCATTATTGTTGTGTCTGAAAGCATTCTGGGTTGCCTGAGAAGCTTCTGTGAAGGAGGCTTGGGGTTGTCCCCCAGTGGTTCTGGTGCTCCTGGCTATGGCTGGATATTGTGTCAGCCATCAGGAGTTATAAAGGAGACCTCTGACCTTCTTTCCGCAGAAATTTGCAGTTTGCTTTGTGTGACACTGATGAGAACTGCTTGCTTTTAAAAGTTACTACTCTCATATTTCATCTCAGTCCAAAAATTCCTGACTGAAGGAACAGTTGTAGGGAGAACGTTATGACTGATGGGGAAATTTATGTTTCCTCTGTGAAGTGTTTCTACATTGCCTCAATACTGCATGAAGATACTTAGCACCTCATAGGAAGTGGCCTTGGAGGGGTATTTGTGATGCACTGAAGACTGTACACCAAGTGAGCAATAGCACAGGGACCAGAAGTCTTCTCTTTTACCAAAAATATCTTCCCACAAAAATGGAAGAACAAGCTGCGACTCCATCTGCTTCCTCACACGGAGTGATCCAGCAGGTCCTCCAAAGGACACCTTCTGTTTCCCGCAGGACTCGGCTACATTTGAAGAAACATCATCAGAAAACTTAGAGTGGTGCCATAAAAATACTTCAGCTACCAACTGCTACACTGAATTCTGGTGTGAATGCTTTATTCAGTATTCACATGCTCACACACATAAACATTTATGTTCTGTTTGTCTTCTTTTAGGTACACCTACATTTTTTATGCAAGTTATTGATTTTTATATAAATTGAAGTAATACAGAATTCAGTCTTCAAATACTTTTTTAATTGGCACTTTGATTCCAGACACAAAACCACCTTGCCCTAATGACCCGCTGACCTATTCTGGCTTTTGCTGTCTGTATGAGAAATGCAGGATAAATCTTGTGATTATCTATTCATCCATGTGGAAATCATTCAGCCATTAATTGCTATGTAAGATAAAGCCATGTTCGTATTTTATTACATATTTTTATGCATTACTCCATCTTTAATCCCAGTAGTGGATTACTATTAGAGCCCTTTTCTCAAATGAGAAGGAATCTACGGAGACTTGCTGACAGTGAAGCTGGAGCTGGGGTCAGGCATACGCTAGGAAAAGCCTGGCAGGAGAGCTCACTGAGCTCCAGGTGCTGCTGCTGTGTGTGCATCCCTCTGCCTTTGCTCTGGCTCAGCATGTCTGATGTGAGGGATGTGAGCGGCTGCTTCCAAGTTCATCCAAATACAGCTGAGAATTCAACATGCTGGAACAGGTCAGGGTGAATTTTCAGTCCCGCTTTATTCTTGCTCAGGAATGCATGTCTTTTACTTTCAAGCTTCGTTTGATAGATTTCTATATGTATTTGAAAATGGTAATTTTTTTTTTTCACTATGTTCTTTTTTTTCTTTTTTTTTCTTTTTTTTTTTTTTACAATTTAAGGTTTTAACAATTTAAGGTCTAGGTGACCCAGACTAAGTTCCGTATAAATTCTATGTAGGTCATACTAAACCATTACAGTTAGAACTCTTCTTTGTGCAAAATAAGCCTTCCTATCTTAGTTCTTTTCGTAAGACTGGAAGGGCTGTCTTCTGTTTTCCTCTGGATCTCACTGCAGGACAGCTTATACAGGCAGGCTTCACTGGGAATTTGGTGTATTGGTTATGTCCACTTGGGATGTCCTGTAAAGAGGCAGCAAACAAGCAGTCTGGTTGCAGCTCTGGGAAATCGTCAGAGCATGTCAGTCTTAGTATGGCTTGGGTTCTAAGGGGTCTTAAAGATCATCTAGTTCCAGGTATCTGCTGGATTAGTGCCCCACAGTGACTGCCTTGTTGCACACAATTGCTCCTAACATTCACTAAGATAAAAATCCTATTTCTTGGGCCAATTTGCATTTCTGTTGTAGTCAAAGTGTGTGAGGAAGGCAC